CAGTTCAGTTCTACACACAGACGTGAGTCTCCTCGCACTGTGTTGTAGACCCTGGAGTTCATGAACACAAGTCTCTGTTCTGGAGAGGCTCCCTCTTTACTTTCCCTTGCTGGCCCCTCCATGGAAGAACTGAAATACAGGAATGGAAGATGCCACGGCAGCAGGGCGGCGGCCACTTCAGACTGACTGGGGCTGTACGGTGCACAGTCTGATTTGCATAAAGGCAGGGCACATGCTAGAACTAGGCATGTCAGAACTAATGTTTTTTTCTTTGATTATTACTTTGTTTTAGCTTTTCCCAGTCCAGGGGCCAGGGAATAAAAATGGACAACCAGACATATGTCATTTGGGCATGGCAGATAATGGCAGTTTATTCCAGGCCCTAAGCTACTTGGAGGCATTGGCTGGAGCTATGTGGTGACTTCAGATGACAATGAGGGGGAGGAGGCAGGTTCTTACTGATCTTGCAGCCAAAGTGCTTAGATGAGAGCTGGGCAGACATAGGTGTGGTTTATAAGTGTTAGCTAAGGGTAATGAAACAAAGCCAGCTGCCACCCTTTATTGTTAAAAATAAAGAGGCCTGAAGCACTTTCTCTGACCGACAGGCTAGTTGCTTATGAAGGTGGTCTTAGAAGAGTACTAGTTGGGGCAACTCAACAAATATGTGTGTGTACATGTGTGTGTTTATGTAGGTGTGTGTGCATGCACCGTACATACACAGGCACACAGATTCATTCCATGTCAGATAACACTCATCTGCGCCATCCTGTGGATCCTTTCTAAGCACCGGACCCCGAGCGGCCACCCCCATTGTCTGTACCCAAAGGGAGTGCCCATTGGCAACCTCACGCCCTAACCCACACTGACTGCTAACGACTCTTGGTTGCACTGATCAATGTGTTTATGCCAATTTTGTATAAATGACACAAAAATGCAAAATTTGTTTCCCGTCTTTACAGTTGTTTGTCCCTCTCTCCCCACTCGTGGCCCTGTGAACTTGATGTCACCCTTTGCCCGAGGCTTGGGGCACTTACCACGGTGCAGCAGAGAGGCCAGAACCACCAGAGGAGCGCCAGGGCCAGGAGCAGGAACAGGATGAGCAGGGCGATGGCCAGGATGGAGCCGTCAGACTGCGGGGCCAAGAGAGAGGCGGTCAGCCGTGGGCCGGGCCGTGGGTGGGCCTCCCTTCCCGAACTCCCAGCACCCCAGGCGGACTGAGGCCAGAAGAGAGCACAGTTTGCCAAGCAAATGGTTGAAAATCTGCCCAGCATCGTAGGGCTCATGGCCCTGAAACACACTCTGTTTAGCCGATTTTCAAGAGAGATAGATTTGTCTTTTCAGGGAGGCCCTGCTCTTCTCTTTGAGGAACGTTCTGAAGGAACAACTGTATGAGAGACAGAGCAGGCATGGAATGGCCTGTCACTGCCCATCTGTTCCTGGAACATCATCCCCTGACAGCCGCCTGCTCACTGGGTCTGATGCTCCGGCCACCACCTGGGCTGACTCAGGACAATTGTACTCAGGGTTCAGCCTGCTCCCCTGAACGCTTTCATAGAGGTGCATGGAACAGATTCATGGGGCAGTGGGTGGAGAGTCTAGAGCCCACTGATGAGATGCCACGTAGGGCAGATGAATTCCAGGGGCCATGGGGAGAGCCACTGCTGCTGAACCTGGGAGACGAGGGGCGTGGTGTTGAGTCAGCGCTGCGGTCAGATCGAGTGGCGGTGGGGCAAGGGAGGGATGAAGGCGCCCAAGAGCAGTACTACCCACTTTGAAACGTGCCCAGGCCAGTCCTGATACAGACACGGTTGCCGTGGCCTGAGATGGTTGTTAACTTTTAGCAAACAGAAGTCCTGCTCGGTACCGGGATTCTGAGGTTGCTGCTTCAAGGAAGCCACTTGAGAACGTCTCCTACTCTCTCTCCCTACCAGCTACTGGTAGTGCAAGTGGGCACAACTTTTGGGTGGGGGGAGGGGACAAATTGTTATAGCTATCAAAAGCCTCCTTCTGAGTAAAACTGGCAGTTCCACTTCTAGCAGGAGAAAACAATCAGGTATGTTTGCATGGATAATAAAAAAGGAAAACAATATAAATGTTTAAGAATTAGGGAAGGCTAAATAATGCATTATAGAATTACCAAGCAATCAGTTACTATGTGGACATTACGTTCTCAAATAGTATTTAAATGACATGGGAAAACATTCCTGGTATGATGAGTAGATTTATGTATATATGTGTTGAGTCACTAAAATTTACTAAAATATTTTACTGATATTTAGTAAAATATTAATAGTTTTACTGGTAGTGACTTTTTGGTAATTTCCTTCTTTTTTAAATCTGTATTTTCTTTNCCACACTTGGGGGAAGGGCAGAGAGAGTGACAGAGGGCTTGGGGACCATTGTATACAAGGGTACTCTCTGTTAGTCACAGGACTGTGTTGAGGGATGCTGTGACTTGGGGTGAGGGAGCTTCCTGCATCTTCTGACTAGGGCTCCAGAGGGGAGGCCCAAGTTTATCTTCCTTCCTGCATACTCCTGCTTAGAAAGCACATGACGTTATCCTGTCCCCCTCAGAACATCATCACTCATCAAGGAAGAAAGTGATCAACAAGTAGCTTTTGGGGGTACACCAAGCAATGGAGCCCAGATCAGCTTTCAGAATTGGGAGGGGGCAGTTTTTATAGACATCATAAACAGGAAAATTAATCTCCAAGAGTTTCCCTCTTAAAAAAATCCTTCAGGACTTATAAAATCAGACCACATTAAGACATTTTGGTTTGCTTCCAAAGCAACCAGATACATTCATTAAAGAATATTTTGAATATTGCAAAACAATCTGACCTTGGGTGACATTGCTTCCAATAATAAAAGGTTTATTTTGAGAAACATTTCCCACCAATATAAACTGAATGCCGTACAGTATAGCAGTAGATACCTATTACAGTAACGTACTTTTAAATAATAATAACACGCGGCACTTCCTATGTGCTAGGTGCTTTCTACGCACTATACAAATGGTCTTCAAAAAGTTAATGGAAAGATTTGTATTGTTTTCTAATTCCCTTTTTCCACGAACTATTTGACGTGCCCATGTACATATAAACTTCTTTAATCTTGACCACCTACTTATGAGGTTGGGGCTCTTACTACCCTCATTATACCAAAGAGGAAATTGAGACACAGAGTGGTTATGCAACTTGCCTGAGATCACAGAGCTTGTAGTTGGTGGAGCACTGCTTGGCTGTTCCATTGTTCCTAGCTGTCCCTACCCAGAGGTAACTGTAATAGTCAAAGAGACCAGGTACACAATACAATAGAAGCTCTGGTGTTCACTGCCTGCTGCCACCATCCCTGGCCACCCACTTCTTTAAGAGCCACTGCAAGGTTTTTTTTCCTTCAAAATTCTGGACTTGAAAATGTGCTTGTTTTTGAGTCACTTATAGAAAGCACTCTTGCTGACTCATGGCGAATTTTTACCCCCCAAATAAAATAGTTGTACAGCCTGAAGTATTTAAAACACCATTTGACTCTTGGAGGTGCTGTGGTAAGGATTTGTTTAAAATCTTGGTGAAATCAGCCCAGTTTGGAAGGGACTAATTGACCCAAGACTCGGGCCTGTCCTGGGCCCATCCTTGCACGCACGGGTTCTTGCCTGCTATAAGTCATTCCTTTCCAGAAGTCTCTGCCCCATGGTCCACGGCCCAGCGGATTTGTTTAAAATCTTGGTGAAATCAGCCCAGTTTGGAAGGGACTAATTGACCCAAGACTCGGGCCTGTCCTGGGCCCATCCTTGCACGCACGTGTTCTTGCCTGCTATAAGTCATTCCTTTCCAGAAGTCTCTGCCCCATGGTCCACGGCCCAGCTGAGTTTATCATCTCATGCCTTCGCCACCTCTTTAAAATGTCCTTTGAAGCCATTTCCCCTCCTTTTTAAGCCTAGTGCTCTATATGTCTGCGTTCTTAGTTCAGTTCAGTTCTACACACAGACGTGAGTCTCCTCGCACTGTGTTGTAGACCCTGGAGTTCATGAACACAAGTCTCTGTTCTGGAGAGGCTCCCTCTTTACTTTCCCTTGCTGGCCCCTCCATGGAAGAACTGAAATACAGGAATGGAAGATGCCACGGCAGCAGGGCGGCGGCCACTTCAGACTGACTGGGGCTGTACGGTGCACAGTCTGATTTGCATAAAGGCAGGGCACATGCTAGAACTAGGCATGTCAGAACTAATGTTTTTTTCTTTGATTATTACTTTGTTTTAGCTTTTCCCAGTCCAGGGGCCAGGGAATAAAAATGGACAACCAGACATATGTCATTTGGGCATGGCAGATAATGGCAGTTTATTCCAGGCCCTAAGCTACTTGGAGGCATTGGCTGGAGCTATGTGGTGACTTCAGATGACAATGAGGGGGAGGAGGCAGGTTCTTACTGATCTTGCAGCCAAAGTGCTTAGATGAGAGCTGGGCAGACATAGGTGTGGTTTATAAGTGTTAGCTAAGGGTAATGAAACAAAGCCAGCTGCCACCCTTTATTGTTAAAAATAAAGAGGCCTGAAGCACTTTCTCTGACCGACAGGCTAGTTGCTTATGAAGGTGGTCTTAGAAGAGTACTAGTTGGGGCAACTCAACAAATATGTGTGTGTACATGTGTGTGTTTATGTAGGTGTGTGTGCATGCACCGTACATACACAGGCACACAGATTCATTCCATGTCAGATAACACTCATCTGCGCCATCCTGTGGATCCTTTCTAAGCACCGGACCCCGAGCGGCCACCCCCATTGTCTGTACCCAAAGGGAGTGCCCATTGGCAACCTCACGCCCTAACCCACACTGACTGCTAACGACTCTTGGTTGCACTGATCAATGTGTTTATGCCAATTTTGTATAAATGACACAAAAATGCAAAATTTGTTTCCCGTCTTTACAGTTGTTTGTCCCTCTCTCCCCACTCGTGGCCCTGTGAACTTGATGTCACCCTTTGCCCGAGGCTTGGGGCACTTACCACGGTGCAGCAGAGAGGCCAGAACCACCAGAGGAGCGCCAGGGCCAGGAGCAGGAACAGGATGAGCAGGGCGATGGCCAGGATGGAGCCGTCAGACTGCGGGGCCAAGAGAGAGGCGGTCAGCCGTGGGCCGGGCCGTGGGTGGGCCTCCCTTCCCGAACTCCCAGCACCCCAGGCGGACTGAGGCCAGAAGAGAGCACAGTTTGCCAAGCAAATGGTTGAAAATCTGCCCAGCATCGTAGGGCTCATGGCCCTGAAACACACTCTGTTTAGCCGATTTTCAAGAGAGATAGATTTGTCTTTTCAGGGAGGCCCTGCTCTTCTCTTTGAGGAACGTTCTGAAGGAACAACTGTATGAGAGACAGAGCAGGCATGGAATGGCCTGTCACTGCCCATCTGTTCCTGGAACATCATCCCCTGACAGCCGCCTGCTCACTGGGTCTGATGCTCCGGCCACCACCTGGGCTGACTCAGGACAATTGTACTCAGGGTTCAGCCTGCTCCCCTGAACGCTTTCATAGAGGTGCATGGAACAGATTCATGGGGCAGTGGGTGGAGAGTCTAGAGCCCACTGATGAGATGCCACGTAGGGCAGATGAATTCCAGGGGCCATGGGGAGAGCCACTGCTGCTGAACCTGGGAGACGAGGGGCGTGGTGTTGAGTCAGCGCTGCGGTCAGATCGAGTGGCGGTGGGGCAAGGGAGGGATGAAGGCGCCCAAGAGCAGTACTACCCACTTTGAAACGTGCCCAGGCCAGTCCTGATACAGACACGGTTGCCGTGGCCTGAGATGGTTGTTAACTTTTAGCAAACAGAAGTCCTGCTCGGTACCGGGATTCTGAGGTTGCTGCTTCAAGGAAGCCACTTGAGAACGTCTCCTACTCTCTCTCCCTACCAGCTACTGGTAGTGCAAGTGGGCACAACTTTTGGGTGGGGGGAGGGGACAAATTGTTATAGCTATCAAAAGCCTCCTTCTGAGTAAAACTGGCAGTTCCACTTCTAGCAGGAGAAAACAATCAGGTATGTTTGCATGGATAATAAAAAAGGAAAACAATATAAATGTTTAAGAATTAGGGAAGGCTAAATAATGCATTATAGAATTACCAAGCAATCAGTTACTATGTGGACATTACGTTCTCAAATAGTATTTAAATGACATGGGAAAACATTCCTGGTATGATGAGTAGATTTATGTATATATGTGTTGAGTCACTAAAATTTACTAAAATATTTTACTGATATTTAGTAAAATATTAATAGTAGTTTTACTGGTAGTGACTTTTTGGTAATTTCCTTCTTTTTTAAATCTGTATTTTCTTTTTTTTTTAACACTTCATAATGAAAAATCTGCACTTGGGGCTCCCCATTTTTGGGCCCAGTTTACTGGTAGTGACTTTTTGGTAATTTCCTTCTTTTTTAAATCTGTATTTTCTTTTTTTTTTTTTAACACTTCATAATGAAAAATCTGCACTTGGGGCTCCCCATTTTTGGGCCCAGGGGTTCTTGTCAAGGGTCAGTGGGCCTATGGGGTACACAGATGGGCTCATGAGGACAGAAGCTTGGGACCCTCCTAAAACGACATCCATGGTCTTTAGTGCGTGTGTCTTCAGGGAGACCATTCACAGCACTACAGATTCTCAGAAATCACCCCTCCTCTATTTACAGAGGAGGAGGGCTGGGTGACCTGTCCAGGGTAGTGCAGAAGGTCAATGGCAGAGCTGGGACGTGACTCTCTCCCACTCTGAGTACTCAGCAGGGGCTACTGGAAGCTGTTTAAAGGCAGCTCTTACTCCCAGGAACTCCCTGGAATGTCTTTGACCAAAAAGCCAGGGAATTAAACACCCCCAGCCCCCACAAAGCCAAGGCTTGGGAATGCCAGATTGCCCCCAAGGGAGCTGTAGCCTCACAAGTGCAGGTGCAGGGCTGGGCAGTCCAGGGCAGTGGGTGGGGAGAGGTCGCCGGGGTCTGACGGATGGACAGGGCCGCTGTGGAGGGGATACTCTGAACCCACAACATTTACACATAAGTGACAGCAGAGACTGATGCTGTCAGTGTGACAGAAAGATATTGCATGTGTTTTCCAAACCTATTGTTCATCAAGGTAGATTCTCAGAAATCACCCCTCCTCTATTTACAGAGGAGGAGGGCTGGGTGACCTGTCCAGGGTAGTGCAGCAGGTCGATGGCAGAGCTGGGACGTGACTCTCTCCCACTCTGAGTACTCAGCAGGGGCTACTGGAAGCTGTTTAAAGGCAGCTCTTACTCCCAAGAACTCCCTGGAATGTCTTTGACCAAAAAGCCAGGGAATTAAACACCCCCAGCCCCCACAAAGCCAAGGCTTGGGAATGCCAGATTGCCCCCAAGGGAGCTGTAGCCTCACAAGTGCAGGTGCAGGGCTGGGCAGTCCAGGGCAGTGGGTGGGGAGAGGTCGCCGGGGTCTGACGGATGGACAGTGCCGCTGTGGAGGGGACACTCTGAACCCACAACATTTACACATAAGTGACAGCAGAGAATGATGCTGTCAGTGTGACAGAAAGATATTGCATGTGTTTTCCAAACCTATTGTTCATCAAGGACAACGCTCTTGATCTCTAGTCTACATTCCATGTCCATCGAATGGAGATAAATAAACCTCGCCTGCCTTACTGCATTGACCTGAGGATAAAATGAGCCGTGAGCTGTAAGCAGATGTGGTCGGGGAGTTTGATGTAAGGAACCTGATCGAACATTGATTACTCTCCCTCTACTTCTCCATGACAACATACATGGTGAGCAGTTCAGATCACAAATCTGTTTGCACTTGGAATAAGTGGTTTGGTTACTGAGAATCTTATAAAATAATGGTCTTTCAGTAAAGACTACAGACTACACTTATTGACATTATATAAAATTCTCCCTCTCCCTGATTTTATTTCTTCAGAAGCAGAAGTGCTGATAAATTGTGGGGACATTTTTTTTTACTTCCTTCTGGAAGAAGTTTTCCCATGAAATGGGATGGGTGAAGGACCTGGACCATAAGGTGAGAGAGGAGGCTTCTGTACTGGGAGAAGTTTTCCTGGATGTGGACGAAGTGATGCCTGGCTTTTCTCCAGTCAAACTTGGCTGCCCCTTATGAACCGCAGTTCCCTTGGCTATAGTGGAGAGGGCAGCCATGGGGCACAGGAAGGGGCCGGGAGCAGGGAAGGGGGTGCTGGGGGCTGGAAACAAACACACAGAGGCAGGAACTCCTAGAGGAATGCTCTCTTGCTTTGGAGACAGCCTGGGATAAAGCCCCCAAATGCCAAACTGCTTGGTTTTTGAGATCTTCCAGAAACCGTTATATACCCAGTTCAAAAGAATCACCATCAAACAAAGGCCATGAATTTTTGATAAACTTATACCTGAAGCTAACATTTTGTAAGGATGCAACCTCAGAGGTTCATTCACTCATTCATCCAGCAAACGTGCATGAAGGTCTACTCTGTGCCCACTGAGCAGACCCTGGGGATACAGGATTGATTAGACAGAGCCAAGATGCTTGGGGTCTGCTGGTGCGGGGTGGAGAGGGTGGGGGGGATTAGCCACATGTAGTGGTCTCTGTGTGATTCACTAGGTGTACACTTAATACCTTTTATGTGCCAGGCAATGAACAAAACAGTCTCTATTTCTGAAGAGCTTACCTTCTGGTGGAATAATAATAATAATGATAATGATAATGAAAATAACAATAACTGTTGGGAGTACAGCTAATACCAAATACATTGAGCACTTACTATGTGCTAGGGACTGCTCTATGTCCTAACATGATTTCCCTGTGCTAGCTCATTTCATTCTTATTAACAACTTTATGAATTTAATATTATTTTTCCCATCTCACAGATAAAAATACTGCGGAAAGGAGAGGGAGAGAAACTTGCTGAAGGCCGTGTGGAGAAGCCAGAATTTAAATGTGGGTAGTCTGGCTCCACAGCTCACAGGTTTAAACAGGCACTTGGCTCTTCAGCCAGTAGCCAAGTGCTGAAAAGCCCAGTGCCTGGGAACTAGCACTTCATAGAGGAGGTGACACGTAGGAGCTGCTGCCCTGTGGGGCCAGGGAGAGGTTGGCATTCCTGCACAGAGAGGCAAGCACAAATCCCTGGGCTCATGAAGGTATGAGAGTGGGGCAGAGGGGGCAGAGAAGGTCCACGTGGTGGGAGCACAGCTTGTGTCAAGTCAGGGTGGAAAGGAGATGGGGACCCCACAGTGAGAGGCCATGCAAACCAAGGGGAGGAGTGTGGTTTCTATCCTGAGCCTAGAGGAACCCCTGGTGGCTTTAACCTGGGGGCACTGGGGCACTGTGATCAGATTTATTTCTTGGGAAGCAAATGCTATTGACACGGTAGAGTATGGACTGGAGGAGGGAAAGATCAGGGATCGAAGGCCCAGGTGGAGGGCTATTGCAATTATGCCCAGCTCTTTCGGGCAGTGACATTTTACTGGGTCACTCTTAGAACACTTACATTTTCATGGATTAGTACATTCATTTCATTAGTACATTCATTTCATTAGTACATTCTCAAAGGTACTAATCTAACAGCAGCTAACCATGATTGCGTGCTTTTTAAATTCCAGGTACTGTGCTCAACACGCTCTATGTATTCTCATTTAATGAAATGAGCCCTGTTAAAATATCCTTGCAGGAATTGTTATCCCCTTTTGTAGGCAAAGAAAACGAGAATCAGAGAAGGTATGTAACCTACCCAAGACCCTCCACATACCACTCATGGGCATATTTACATTTATAGGCCCACAATTTTAATGTTGCAAAACTGGGATTTGAATCCACCTGGTCTGATTTTAGAACCTTGCCCCCCTCCCACTTAGCCATTACACTATAATGCCAAATTTATAAAGATTTAGTTAAAAAATACCTGTACCTTAAAGACCAAACTTTAAGCAGCTGCATCAGAGATTGAGACCTTGTTTGGAAATGCTTCATCTGCTCTGATAGGAGTTCCCTCACGTGCCCAGGGTGGGTCAGCGTGTAACATGGGTGACAGCGTGCTTCAGAGTGAAGTCAGAGGTGGGAGGGGGGCCACAGCAGAACCTGCATTTGCTTGAGTTCTTGGCTTGGAGTTTT